AATATTTATCGATCGTCTCGCAGTTAATTGAAATTCTCCTCTCTGTCGCCAGACAGACTTTGTCTCCACTTCTGAAATCATTTTAAAAAGAATTTCCTTTACTTTTCCTTTTCCTTTCTTCTATTTTTACTAATTTCCTTTACTTCTTGTTACGAACTCGTCTCGCAGTCAGTTTCACACCGGATTATTATCTTTATCTATTGAACTCGAAACCCAAGCACGACGCTCTAAAGATTAACAATCTTGCGCGAGGCAAACGACGCTTTGTTTTCCGCGCGAGGCCCAACCAAACCTCATTCATCGGTACAGTTCTCACTCGCTAATTTCGCCCACTTCGTCATCTCGTCAGTCCTTCAAAAGCCATAGTACCATCCTTCGAGCTCTCTTCATTTATCCCCTGCCGAGCACTCATTCGAGGTGAAGTACGTTTGAGTTAAAAATTGATTCGGCACTACCGAGCGGGGGAGGAACGAAAGTAGTAGTAGAAGAAAAAGAAGAAGAAGAAGAAGCAGAAGAAGAAGAAAATGGGTTCCCTCTCTCCCGCTGGTAAAACTCGCCAGGAATTCCTGGGCCACGGCCGGCGTGGAACCTCTGTTAGCGGAGTTCGGGCCCCGGCTACGGGGGCAAGCCTCTTATCCACGCAGGATCGGTCTGTGACTTTTGTCGGTGCGCGTTCCCCGGGTCCTCTCTTTGAGTAATGGAAGTCGACCGAAATCAATTTCAATTCCTACGAGCCGGCGCTCGCTGGCCCCGCGCGCGCGGTTCCCTCTTTGAGAGAAGCTCCTCTCGTCGTTTTCAGCTTCCATGCGCGCCTCCCCTTGCTTAACACCTTCGGATTTTATGTGGACGGCCTCCTCGCTCTCGCCTGATCGGTCCGCGCGCCGCGGTATGCCGACCATCCCGCGAATCCAACTCCTCTTCGGTATACCGTCCGCTGATACCGAGTCTCTCCATCGTTTATCTCCCGATATTTGTCGCTTCTCCGTCCGAGTGGAGAGAGCCCGAGGCGTTGGTGTTAGGAAGTCGACCTCTCTAAGATCAGTGAGAAGGTTCTACGTCGACTCGAGATTAACTTTCCTTCCCTCTTTGTTTCGTGAATTCTCGCGGACTAGACTGTATCTGCAGGCTGTAGAACTCGTTCGTCGCCGAAACGAACGTTAACCCCACTTGCGCTGGCAACTGGGGTTTGTCGCGGACCGTAACGAGTGACCGAGCCGTGCACAATAATTCGTCGTTTCCTTCCCCTTTCGAACTCGTCGGTATGACATCGCTGAATAGAAGTCATTAAGAAGTAATAAATCATTAATAAATCAAGTAATATCATTTTGTTCTGCCTGGGTTACATTGAAATATACTTGAAACTGATATCACTGGGTAGAAAATGTTGAGAAGTAACAAATTTTATATTTGTTTTGTCTGGGTATACTTAAGTATACTTAAATACACCTAAAAACTGAGAAAATATTACAATTTTGGAACAAAAGACTTGACGTGTGTAGCACGTCATTCAACTTGCGCTGGCAACTGACTGCGGACCATAACGAGTGACCGAACCGTATACAATTATTTCGTCGCTTTCTTTTCCCTTTCGAACTCGTCGGTATGATATCGTTGGGTAGAAATTGTTGAGAAGTAATAAATGTATTACTTTTTTGTCTGGGTTATACTTAAATATACTTAAATATACCTAAAACTGAGAAAATATTACAATTTTGGAGCAAAAGATTTGACGTGTGTAGCACGTCATTCAACTTGCGCTGGCAACTGACTGCGGACCATAACGAGTGACCGAACCGTATACAATTGTTTCGTCGCTTTCTTTTCCCTTTCGAACTCGTCGGTACGATATCACTGGATAGAAATTGTTGAGAAGTAACAAATTTATTATTTGTTTTGCCTGGGTTATACTTAAATATACTCGAAACTGAGGAAACGTTGCAATTTTGGGACAAAGACTTCTCGGCGTGCGTGGCACGTCATTCGAGCGCAAGAGGTTAAGTCAGTCGTGGCGATAGGGAAAACAAGCGGATGGAGAGCAAACGAGCGAGAGTGGGTTGGAGGGCAAGGCCGAGGACACGGGTTTTACGAGGCTGTTTGAAATTCGGCAGGGTCGTAAAAAAGGGGGCCGGCCGAATCGGGGAAGAGACGCCGGTGAATCCGCTGGACCGATGGTGGTTGCGCGCCCGTGATTTCGTGCACCTGTTGTTGTTTTTCGCCGCGAAACACTCGACGCGATAAGATCGGCGAGGAGGCGCTGCACGAGCGCGCAGCATCGTGAGGGCGGGAGGGGAAATAAAACGTTGGCCTCGCGATCGCCAGGCCGAGTCAGCGTCGCCAGAGGATGAAGATATATCGTAGATAGCGGGGCCCGTGTACACCTGCGTAACGGCGGTTCGAACGCTCGTACTATAAAACTTAATTAACCCCTCGCGACGATTTATTCCGTCGTCGATTAAGCGGATCCCGCCCGATAATCTGGATCCGCTAGCCTCTTAAATCCCCCGCTCGTTTAAATCGCATTCGACCGCGGTTTCGCCTAGCCGCCCGTTCCCCTGCCCACGGATTTACCTCGATACCATCCACGTCGATACGTTTTATTGCTGGAAAGCATCGCCGAGGAGCAGGCTAACGCGCTGTTAATAAAGAGAGAGAGAGAGAGAGATGGTCGGTAAATGGATTGAGGGACGCGAAATGGAGATTGCGGCGAGCTGAGAGAGCTCGTGAAAAATGCGATTGCACAGGATGTCCATAAAGTATCTTTACAATTTCAAAAATTTATCACAAGGGCGAACGAAGAGACAGATGAGTGGAAATTATTGCAAAATGAGACGTATATATTCAAGTTTTTTCCTATCTCATTTAGTACCACCTTAATTACATCCAAAGGGAGGAGTGGACGACCAAGAACATCCGAAGGAAACATCGATCGTGTAAGAAATCGAGTACAGTCTTGATGTGCTTCGTGCAAGGCAGAAGAAAACTTGAATATATACGTCTCATTTTTGTAATAATTTCCACTTATTTGTCTTTTCACTTGCTTTTGTAATAAATTTTTGATATTGCAAAAAGACCTTATGGACACCCTGTATATATATTCTATATTTTTAAACACAGTGGCCACAAAAACGTGGTAGTAACTCTAACTCTGTATCAAATATTTATGCGACGAGAAAAATTGAAGATGAAAACGTATTTTCGTTGCAAATACTTTTGCAGCCACTGTACAATCAATATTTCGCTCAAAGTGGGCGTACAACTGGTTTACACGTCCATTTCAGTTTATAAAATTCTTGTTAGCTGCTCTCTCAGTCGGTAAACAGTCGGTCGAGACATTCAGCGATGTTCAGCTTAAAAAAAAAAAAAAAAAAAAAGAAGAAGAAACAAAAAACGTGGCATGCAACGAAGTTCAGCTAATGATACATCCCGCTTTCATATCAGGCTCTAAACGCGCGTGGCTCGTAAAAGACGCGTCGTTCCGTTGTAAAGAGACGGGTGGCTTCGTTTTCATGAAACGCTCGCGATTATGAATGTGTCCCCGTTGAAAAAATACCGTACAGTTAACAGCTCGTTTTCTGCTCCCGTAATCATGTTACCTGCTTTTTACTGCCGCCATGAAACCCCGGTATCAATCGATGTCCTTACACCTTTATCACCAAACAGCTGGTAGATGCACTCGTACGGCTTGATACCTCGGAATCCTTTGCCTCGTGACGCCACCAATAAACCGCCGCGTGCTTTTCCGCGTTTCTGGCCACCTCGACAACGCCGTGTCAATCCAATCAATTCAACGAGCAAAAAAAGCTTCGTGCTCAAACAGCCGTATTTAAGTGGCTGCAATTTCTTTTTTTCTCTCAGATAGGAGGGATTAATTATCTCCGAATTATCTCTGGTTTTCTTTCAATTTCACTTGATCCAAGCGCAAGTAATAATCCAATAATTGAATTCGCGCTAGATTGCCCAATAGACTCGTTCGCACTTTCGTCAATGATGAAACTGTGCATTACAACTGATTATCCTTTGGAATTGGAAGTAACTTTTTATCGAAGAACTGTTAAGATATAACTGTGTTTTTGTGTTCTTTGAATTATATAATTATCACCTCTGGAGAACATTCTTTTTTTTGTACTTTAACGTCAATGATGCAAATTTTCTGCAACAACGAGCTAATCCTACATTTTAAATATCATTGTATCACATTTACAGAAATGTTTACGGTGTTTTTTTTTTTTCATTTTTTTATACTTCCTTTATTCAACATCGACGGCTCGTGTACATTGTCCATTACATTTTCTACAATATGTACGTACGAACTTTTGGAATCTTAAAAATGTACACACGAACTTTTGAAATCTTTTGAAAATGTAACACCAAGAGGGGCGAACGAACTCATTGGCGCATTCCAACAATTCAACGATCCTATATTAATGAAATATTAAATTAAAAACCTCACGCTGTTGCTGAACGAGTTGACGGACAATTTTCTAAGAAAAGAAAGAAAAAAGAAAGAAAAAAAAAAAAAAGGAAGAAAGAAAGTACGCCAAGGATAATTCAGCCGCCAAGGGGATTATCGGCCAGTTGACCAGTTGTCCATCGATTTTCCTTTGACGGGAGAGACGTCAGGTCGGTAAAGTTAAAAGTTCCGTGTCTGGCGACAATCTGGACGTTTACGCGCCGAAACGTCCCTCGGTAATAATGACACAAAGATGCCGGCTTCCTCTCGGGGGGTACTGGTATCGGGAGGCCTGGCAGCTGATTCGGGACGAAAGTCTTCTAAACCAAGGGCACGGTTCGTTAGCGTCATTGTAGCCGAGTCCAAATATTGTTGGATTCCTCTCCTACTGGACCTACAGCGAAGATTCCTGCCTTCCATGACATCGCCGTTCTGCGGACTGTTCGACGGAGTGACGACTTTATGCGCGGCCTACACGGAATTGCCTGACGGTTCTCTATTCTTTTCCTTCTCCCTCCTTTTCTTTTCTTTCCTTTTCGTTTCTTGTTCCTCCATTCGCTTCTGACGAATCTGACGTTGTTCCCTCCTGCCGTAGCTCATCGATTACGTTACAGGAAATTGTTCGATTCAACCGAAGGAGGCCGTAGTGTTTCCACTGTAAACGGCGTTTGTTTGGTCGATCGCTTATAATGTTTGCAGAACTAAATGTTGGAAGAGATCGAGCACGCAAGATTGAAATTATTCGATCGTCGAGTTGGCTTTGCTACTGAACAATTGATTGATCGGTTGGATCGTTCGTTCTTTACAGCCAAATTATCGATCGACTGTGGTTGGCTGGAATCTTCAATTGATCTTGCGGTCGTCGCTGCGACTGTTGGTGTTGTTATCTTTGTCGAATTTGTCGAGGATGTCGAGCCGAAGGAACGAGCCGACGATCGAACGGGTGGTGGAGGCCGCCCCGCCGATGCCGCCCTCCATCGAACTCGCGCCGCTGCTCTTCGAGATTTTAACCGGCTTCGTCTCCGCCCAAATGTTCACCGCGAATCTTAATTCCGCTACCAGTGCCTCCCACGGGGTGACCTGCGAGAAAAAAGAAAAAAAAAAAAGGAACGTCGACTCGTGAATCGATTCGTTGCTTGGTAATTTCGTGTTCTCGTTCAGTCCACGTTCGAACGGAACTCGTCGATCGAAAGGGATCGAACGTTTTTTTCTTCCCTACTCGACGGACTGTTGTGAAATTGTCCCAATTAATCTTCTTTTCTAATATAGATTTAACGAAAATTTAACCAAGCTACTGTTATCTCGCTAAATTCAAAGACCAAGGGAATCATTTCTCCGATTCTCTTGTACTCGCGTCGCGGGGGAAAAATTTATATCGCTGGTTTCGGCGGTGGGGGTGAAAGAGAAAGATCCAAGGATAACGGTCTTGTGAGAACGGAGAGACGCCGCGGAGGTGGAGAGAGAGAGAGAGAGAGAGAGAGAGGGGCTCACCTTCTCCTTCACGGCGACCTTTCGTACATTCCATAGGAATTCAAAGACAGCGATGATGAATGAGCCGCAAGTCCCGATCAGAAGGACCAAGAAAACACCACCGACGTTGGCCAATCCTAATTCGCTCGACGACGTCGGCTCTTGTTCGATACTCATGCACAGCCCGCCGCCCCGGTCCACCCACCATTTCTTCTTCAGGTCCTGGAGCATCCCTTTCTCTTGCAGCATCAATATCGCGCCGCTTATGGGCGTCCTGTACGGGGAATCTAACGGGAGAGGCTTGTATTTCAAAGATGCCTTGCCGATTCGATTCGAAATGAATCGAGGAGTTTCGTTTCTGAACTTACTTCGCGGCAGGGCGATACCGTATCCCTTGTTGTCGATAAGGCCGCCAACCTGGTCGAGCTCGCAGTTTCTTTGCATTTTGTACTCGATCGTGGTGGATTCCATGAGAAAAGCGTAGTCGTATTTCTTCAACACTCGTTCGACGCCTTCGTCGTTCGTTTTCATGTACACGCTCGGCCTCGTCTCCTGCATCGTCGCCCACATCCGCTGATACGTTGAATAATTCGAGTCCTGCGACATTGTTAAATCGGAGCATCAATGCGGAGGTCCGCGCGTTTGCATTCGACAGAATTTTTTTTACGAAATTTTCTCGTTTCCTTTAACACGTTCAATGCCGTGCGTACTCTGTTTAAAATTTTTGTTTAAAATCACGCAAGATTGTAAAACGATTGCATCCAGGAATTTCTAGTCAGGAAATTTGGTAAAAGTTTACTAAATTTACTAAATTACTAAATTTTCTAAATTATTAAATTTACTAAATTACCAAATTTAATAAATCACCAAATTTTCTAAATTACTAAATTTACTAAATTACTAAATTTAATAAATTACCAAATTTTCTAAATTACTAAATTTACCAAATTACCAAATTTATTAAATTACTAAATTTACCAAAGTACTAAATTTACCAAATTACTAAATTTACTAAATTATTAGATTTGAATTTAATTTAATTACTAAAATTTTGGCTAAGGAAGTTACATCGTTCTATGATGGTTGCAATGGCAAACCACATCTTTGCCTACAACTGTTTTAATAAAAACCTATTAAAATTACTACTGTATTATTATACTGTGTACTGTTTATATGACAAATATGAATAAAAGCATATATTCTATTCCTGTAATCCGAAAATTCTTCAATTGTTAATACACGTTAAAATGTTAAATTTGCTTCGTCGGTAACCTATTCATCGCACGTTGCGTTCCAATTATAAATATCGAAGCTCACCCTGAAGAAGGCGGACGTGGAGCCACCATCCACGGCCCCGTACTTGATCTTCGTCTGTTTGGCTAGATCTTCGACGCTTTTGATCGGATTGTCCATCTTCTCGGCGGTCAAAAAGGCGGCCAAATTAGCGGTGTACGAGGAGACCATAATCAGAGTGAAGAACCACCACATACCAGCGACCATTCGAATCGAAGGTGCTCTAACAATCGAAACAGCGCAAGTACATGTATATACGCATTCGATCGAAATCGAGGTCGTCGTGAGCGAGAAGTGTTCGAATCGACATGGATCAACGGTTGAGTAACGTGAATTTAGTTGCTAGCTGAGCTGGAGCTGGCGTAGAGAGTGATCGATGAAAATTGGAGTTGGTCGAAGTTGATCGACTCGATTCGGGATGGGTTGAAACGGGTCGACGCAAATTGGGGAGGATCAAAGCTGACCGATGCAAATTGGTGCCAGTCGGAGTCGAACGGATGCGAATTGAAGCTGATCGAAGCGGATCGAGCAGCACGTTGCAGCTGGTCGAAGCTGATCGGGGCAAATTAAAACTGGTTGAAGCGAGTAAGGGTTGATCGAAGTGAATTCGAGTTAGTCGAATCGTGTCTGCGGATTAGAGACGATGCTAAAGAGACAGAGTTTGTTCTGTGTAGAACAATAGAGTAACAAGTTTGTTTTTAGTTCTTACACGTAAAAAATATATATGTGCAAGCTTAGTTTCTTTGTAATCCCGATGTAATATAATATAATCACGATCACGGTCACTAATTAAGATGAATATTATCGACAGAATAAAATTTTAACTGGATAATATTATAAAATTGTATTGCAAGCGATCTTTTTCGAATTCAATAATCCATTATCAGATTATATATTTGCGCTAATGTGTGTATGCGTGTACACGGAAAGTATTCGAATTACTTATTTAATTGAACTGGATAATGGCAACAGACTGATAACATTTGTCTCTCGTAAATAAATAAAATTTGTTGAGCGTTGACGATTGGACGATCTTTTAATAGGTATTGTCACTTTTCTTTTATTTTTTTTCAATCGCCAATACCAATTAGCAATTAACGAGTACTTTACAAAAATTAAATATTCCATTGCGCGAAGCAAGCGGAAAATATACAGGTCTTGTCCATAAAGTCTCTTTGCAATTTCGAAAATTTATTAAAATGGCAAATGAAAAGACAGACAAGTGAAGATTATTGGAAAATGAGACGTATATATTTAAGTTTCTTCTTTTGCCTCATTAAATACACCTCTATATGGGCTATATTAAATGAGGCAAAAAAGAAACTTAAATATATACGTCTCATTTTTGCAATAATTTCCACTTGTCTGTCTCTTCATTTGCCTTTGTAAATAAATTGTTGAAACTGTAACGAGACTTTACGGACTTTACCTTGTATACAAATTTCACGCTCAGTCAGAAGAATCGACGCGTTTGATTTCGGTCGCGGATAAACAAATTATCGCCGGTGCTTCGCAAAGATCACGCCAAGATCGTTCCATCGAAACGCGAAATCTGTCTACGAGGTTTAAACCAGCCGTGATCTACGTAGTCTAGATAAATCGTCTGGTAAGTACTCGAGGCTCGAGTGGATGGAACGTCTCGGCGACGCGGTGGTTGGAACGGTGGCTGAAGCGGAGACAGGGACAGCCCGTGCGTCGCGTTTTCCTAATTAAGCGCGCGAGCTAAAGAGCCCCGCGTATGCAAATGACGCCTGTTTGCCAAGCACGGCAAACGCGCGCGCGGATATTCTGCGCGAGCGTGCACAGGACGCCGAGTAAACAGAAACAAAGGACATTGTTTCCCGGCTCGCCTTCGCCGACAAATGGATCGCGAGTCGCGATTAAATTGCCGCCGCGAGATATCGACAAGCGATACTCCTATTTATAATACTCCCCCTGTATATAAATGTTCCCGTGAATTTTTTGTTTCCCTCCTGATTCTTCAAATGGGGCGCTCAACGTGCCGGATTCTACAACGGATTGCTCTGTACAGTTCTGTTTCAATTAATTGTTTTCGATTTCACGCGAATTACTTCGCACGTCGGCAATTTTCATCGATTTCACACCCGCGGCTAGGTGTATTTACAATTTCAACAGGGACGAATATCTCTGCCGTAGTTAATATCACGTTTCACCTAGTGACGAACGAAAATACGTTTTAAATTGAGCTTTGAAACGCGTGTTTCACGTGTAACAGCGATCGTGATACGTATTTAAATTGTACCGCGTAAAACGGATCGGCTTTCTGAACGAACGTCGAGGATAATTGATTGAAAAAGTAGGAAATCTCGCGTGTCTGGATTCCTTCTTTTCCCCCGGAACTGAGCCACGTTGCAAACGAGAACACTGGGAAATATTGCTTCTTCTATGCAAATCAGGACGATTCATGGCAGCTTGGCGTCGCATAAACAAGCGGCAGGGAGGCAGTTAGAAGGATTCGCCGTTGTTACCTGTCAGCCACGTCGTCTTTAGCCGGAACGTCGCGTCGTCAGTATGTGGTGAGCAAACACGCGCGACGTTACGAGCGGAGTGTTAGCGCCGTGCCGGCGTTAATAAGTGGGAAGCCGCCTCAAATATGTCCGGCAAACAGCGGCTCGTTAAGCTTAATTGTCGTGAAAAAAGGAGCAAAGGGGAGGCGAGAGAGAAGGAAGAAAAGCGCCGCCGCTGCTTTTGGCACCGTCTCTCTGTACACTTTTCTACAAACGCGATCCGCGACGTTTGATTCCTTTAAGCAGAGAGAATTAACGTGCGCAGATCGTGCACGCGCCGGCAAAAGAAGATTTCTCTTCCATTCCGATCCGGATAAAAAAAAAAATAAAAAAAGAAAACGTTTCTCAACTGCGTGACCACTTCCAGTGGCGTGGAGATTTTTATCAATTCGCAAGCTCAACTGCTCTTTAAGCTCTCGAGATATCGGCATGATAAATTTAATTATCCTCGATGAGAACTGCGTAGAACCCACTGGAATATTCTAGGTTTACCCTCGGTGTTTGCGTTTAATGGAATAACGTAATTCTTTTGTTCAACGTGGTTCTCGTTCCACCCGAGCCGGACTCTGCGTGGTCTTTTGAATTAATTAAATTGGACCACCGAATTAAAATCTTGTGCAAACTCGGCGTAGGCACGTAGGTACTAGAACGATGTTTCTTTCCTCGAGAGATATATTTCACGTTGAACGGTTATTAATAAACCGAGGGGGGGAACCAGCGAGTAACTCCAGAATTGCAAAACGAAACGAACACCAGCCACTGTTGAGGAATCTGTTTCATGATTATCGCACGCAGCTTTGCACGCGTGTAAGACAGGCTGCGGTGGCATAGGTGCTGCCTTGTTTAAAGTGTTCACCGGCTAGCGGACTTACTTCGGAAGTATGTCAGAGCCCTGTTGCATGATAGAGCCGACAGTGAGCCACATAGAGTTCTTCAGGTCGAAACTATTTTCTAATTCCTCCGGGTCCGGATTGCACGGATGCGGATTGTCCCATTCGCCGGGCGCTATTCTGCAAATAAACCTTCCTTTTAACGCCCGGAATCCCTTAAGCGGCCGCTCCTTTTGATATCGTTCCCCATGGAGCCGAGTTAATTCTTTTTCAGAAATATAAACAACACACTTTCGAGAAAATTCTCTTCCCTTGGAGAAGGGGAACTTGTACCCGGAATTTAACGACCAAACTTTAATTAAGGAAAAAAGACGAGTCGTTTAACTGTGAAACAGAAAGATGGCAAAATAGTTTGGCTTTGAACTGGAAAGAATCGAATCGGTTCGCCGAATAGTTATCTAAAGCAAAACGACGAACGAAATAAAATCTGTGAAAAGTTAACTGCGAGGTATCGAGGTATCTTTGTTATTTCTCACCTAGCCTGTAGAAACAGCATGATCGAAACTGCCAGGAAAGCAGTCGCCATGTAAATCCAGACGTCGGTTGACAACGGTGACAGGAACGAGAACAAGTTCGGCTCCTTCTCCTCCGGTTTTCTGTACAAAATGCTGATACCTGACTTGGACATATTTCGGATGAAATGGCTGTGTCACGAAGATCTATCGCGAGAATTCGGGAGGCGACGTGGGATTAAAAATTACCTAGGTTCATGAACGGCATCGTGAAGTCGACCGCGCTCTCCCGCTCGTACGTGATTGTCAGATCGCAAATAGCTAAATCCGCGTCCTGAAAGGATTTACAAATTACTGAAATCTTCAAATCGTTTTTCGATACTCGGAAAGTAGAGAAAGATCTCGCGTCAGAGGATGTGTTCTTAACCACTTGCGCTGGCAACTGATTGCGGACCATAACGAGTGACCGAACCGTATACAATTGTTTCGTCGCTTTCTTTTCCTTCTCGAACTCGTCGGTATGATATCATTGGATAGAAATTGTCGAGAAGTAACAAATTTATTATTTGTTTTGTCTGGGTATACTTAAATATACTTAAATATACCTAAAACTGAGAAAATATTACAATTTTGGAACAAAAGACTCGACGTGTGTGGCACGTCATTCAAGCGCAAGAGGTTAACCACTTGCGCTGGCAACTGATTGCGGACCATAACGAGTGACCGAACCGTATACAATTGTTTCGTCGCTTTCTTTTCCTTTTCGAACTCGTCGGTATGATATCATTGGATAGAAATTGTTGAGAAATAACAAATTTATTATTTGTTTTGTCTGAGTTATACTTATATATACTTAAAATTGAGGAAATGTTGCAATTTTGGGAGAAAGGTTTCTCGATGTGCCACGCACGTCATTCCAGCGCAAGAGGTCAATCAAGGAGAGAGTAGGTGCAATTGAACAAATAGCTACGTACACGATCCAGTAGGCGTCTGATTAAACCGTTCCATTGCTTCGTTTCCTTGTTGTACGTGCCATAATTACCGTCCGGTACCAATTCGAACTCGTATTTAAAATTCAACAGCCTCGCAATCTCCTCGATGAGATCGATGCAGAAGCCCTCGTAACGCGTTTGCTCGATCAGTATACCACGGGTTGCGCTGTCCGTCACTTCCATCACGTACGGCGGTCCCTGATGGATTGCCATTGATTACCACTGATTGTTAATATATCTTTTGGTAATTAATTTCTGTTTGTTTCATTAAAAAAAAAAAAAAAAAAAAAAGAAAAAATAGAGGCTTCATGGAGCCTCTTAATATGCTTCTAGCGACAGAGAGAATATGCAAAAATGTCACGGAATGTGCTCACCAGTTTGGTACTGATCTTGAACTTCTTCTGTTCGATGGATTTGTACAGATAACTCTCGCGGCCTTCCTCGCTGTCGACCGAGTGAAGGCCATCCGGTAGCCAGTACGCTGTTTGCACGCTCTCTTCCGGTCTGACGTCCATAATTTGTATTTGAAAGGACTGACGTCGTCCGTTCTCGTCGATCTTTATTGGCCCCGTGATCTTACCTCCGATCTTCCCTTCGTTGGAAAGCTATGGAAACGGGAAACGTTCCTCCGTTAGGCTGACGAAGCTTTATGGCCAAAGAAATTTGACATGCGTGCAATCTACGTATATACAGGCTATACGCGTTAAATTTTTAGGTGAACTTCCGGTAGTGCAATTAAGAAATGTTTCGAACAAAATTTTTTTAACATTTGGTTGGCTACACGTTCCCATGTTCTTAAATTTCAAAAAATACTTTTTACGTAAAAAAAAGTCAAAGTCACCTTGACTCTTTTAAATGGCACCATATGTTTCTGGTATCGTAGGATTGTTGTGACTTTGAAATGATGACTTACTAATGTGATAAATGCATACATAATATGGGAAGCGAAAGTAAACAGGGACGGCGTAATTATAGCAACAACGAAAAGTCTAATACACAGAGCGGAGCTCTGTATCATAGTTCATTTCAAAGTTCACAGCATAACACACTGTTGAACTCGTCTCGACATCAGCAACAATCCCGCGATATCAAAAATACGTGGCGTCGTTTAAAAAAGTCAAGGTGACCTTGACTTCTTTACGTAAAAAGCATTTCTTGAGATTTAAGAATATGGGAACGTGTAGCCCACCGAATACTAAGAAAATGTTGTTTGAAACATTTTTCAATTGCACCAGCAGAAATGCCTGAAAACTGGTGACGAAGCTTGACGCGTGCACTCTGTATAATCTTCATACGCGAGCTTGAAGAGAGAGCCATTACCTCACGCATAAGGTTGATAATGTCGGGACCTGCGCTGTATTTCTCTTCCCCTTCGCAAGAGAGCGGTACCGGGTCAATAGCTACAGACATGTTCCTCGCGTTCAAGGTCTCCAGCGTGTTGTACACCATGAAGACGGCGTCGTACAGGATGGCCGATTCCACCTTTGTCACGTGAAAAGTTTCAAAGAAACTGTTCTAACTGTAACCGTTGCGTTCGCGATTTTCAACGGCGATCGTTATGTATTTATTAAGTTCCTCGCGATTGTGAATTCCTTCGCGTTTCTGTCTCGTCGCTTGGAGGCGAGCTCGCGAAGCACTATCCGAAGCGAGAAAATCTTGCAATTTTCGAGAAAGATGCGCGCGGTAATTTTCTAATTTGCAAGCAGTGCTTCGTCCCGGTTGCCACGACGATCCGTCGTAATGAGAAATGAGACGTTACCGCGTGCAATTCGGGAAAATTCCGCGAAACAACGCGCCCACTCGTTACATACGTTACGTCCGTGGGTCTGCACATGCAAGGAGAAACGCGACGCATGTTGCTCGCGCGTCTCCATCCGGGACGCGGGTACAAAGCGAATCGGCGAATGCTAATGAAACGAAAATTAAGCAGCCAGCCCGTCAGCTGCTCGTAAGTACCGTGTACTCGCGGCTGGATTTCCCCGGGAAATGGAAGGCCCGATGCTGTTGTTGCATCCTTGAAACGGAGCACGCCGAGTTAATGAAGAAATTACCTCCAACTTCGGGTGGCTCCCGATGGGCCAACGTTCGCGCGATCGTTCGTTTCCCCGCTCGTGAGAATCATCGCGGCCGAATGTTTGAAGAAATGCGGGTGAAATGTTGGTCGGAGGATATTGGAGAAAGGTGCAAGAAACGAGTTTCTCGCGCGATGGGAGAGGAAGAGGGAAATTATATCGCCGCTCGATTCCTCACGGTCTGAAGGATACTTTGCGAAATGAATAGAATTGCAGCTGACGGGAGAAAATGAAGGAAAATTTTTGCAATTGCCCTTTACAAGCGCGACGTTGAGAATTTAATGTAAATTTACTGAAAAAGAAAAAGAGAGAATGAATAGCAAATTGTCCCTAATGGGTCAATTTCGGTGTAGTTTTATTTCATTCGCTGCAATCCTCCCTTGAATGTGGAAATTTTAGCGACAGGCAGTTTGACACGTTCGTTCACATCTGTTGATGATTGAATTTTTATATGCTCGTTGTGAATTGAACGTGCCTGGAAAGAGAAACCGTTTCAACCTTCGTCGGAAAACAAGAACGAAACTATTTGTCAATTTGAGAGAAATGAGAGGTACTGTTTAAGGTACTATCGAACGTTCATTTATCTTCTACTTTTTTCGGTCGTATCGACTGCTTTATTATTTATAGCTCTTTGCGTAGAATTTAATGCCACAGAGTGCAGAGAGTAATGGAGAAAAATTGCAAGAATGACAAAGTCATTTTTGACGTAGCGGAGAATATATCGAATTGGTATTATTAATATCTAGGTACAGACATTCTCCGCGAATGTAAATTTTGGAAAGCAATTACTCGTAACGTACGTTAATTTGACTGTGACAATATTAACCCCTTTGCGCTGGCAACTGGTTCGCGGACCATAACGAGTGACCGAAACCGTATACAATAACTCGGCAATGTTGCAATTTTGGGGCAAAAACTTCTCGATGCGCGTGGTACGTCATTGCAGCGCAAGAGATTAAAAGAAATATTTGTTTAAGGAAGAGAATTCTATCAAGATTGTTCAATTAAATGTAAATTAATAATCTAACAAAGACGAATTTCAAGAAAATTTGTACGTCGAAAGACAAGTTTTTCAATATTTACCAAATTAATTCCTTCCACGTCGTTCTCCCGCAGGCTGAGTCCCGTAATGTTGGTCGTTGTCTTGTTTCGCACGTCCGAGATCGGCAATTTCGTCGAATCCTGTCAAACACGGCACGGCAAACGTGAGATTTACTCGGCTCTCTGAACAAAAGGAGTGCATTTAAAATCTCCCACGGATGCATAAACATTCATGGGCCGTTCATGACGGGAAGAACCTCAATAGATCCACAGGGGAAAGAATAGAGATGCTCGTGTGAACGTGCGGTAGTCCGGTTGCACGCGAACCGTGTATAATTCCCAGCGGACATAATTTTAAAAACTGTCGATTGCCAGCCGCAGCCGATTTCTATTTGGCGGCGGAGCCAAACCGCTTGAACCGTACACCTCATCTATCTTGGACCTGGCTTCTCCAAATTCACGCTGAATTTGGAGAACGCGGGATTCGTCACAGTATATTCGTCTCAACGGGATCCGACTCGAGGATTCGGCGAGTAACGACCGTTGCAGCATCAGCTACCGTGAAACTCGGAATCTTAAGTGGACCGGCGTTTGAAGGGTCGTTCGCCCTGCCCTCTTGTTGTCCCAGTGCAACAAGCGGGAAATAACTTCGAAACTCTCTCTCTCTCTCTCTCTCTCTCTCTCTCTCTCTCTCTCCTGCAAACCTACCGAACGGTGTATCGCGGAAGCTCTCTCTGAACGTTTGTTGACCGACGGTCGCTTTTCAACCGAACCTAAAGCGATTATTCTTTTTTTTTCTGGGAGGGGAGGGGTCGAAAAGTCGAAGAACTAGCAGATAAAGCGATTCTTGGACGCCGAGGATATCGATCGAATCGGGCGCAGATGAAAAATTTTCCAAGAGACGATGTTTCTGACGCAACGCACCACTTCTCGTTCACCGAGATGGCGCGATAAATTTGAGAAAAGTTGCGCTCTTCGAGTCAATAGACGAATTTCCACTGTCTAACGAAAGTCAAACGAATTCTCTCGAAAGGGCCATTAATCAAGAGTCCACTCTTCCCAGTCCACCCTGGAACTATAATTGGAACATATTCGCCGACTCGGCCGCGACCGGAGGAGGGGAAGGTGTTCAGGGTTATCGAAATCGTGGCATCGGGGCGGCGGAAACAGTGACGTTGACACGGGTCCGCTCTCAGGTCTCGGACTGAAGTTTCGTCTTCCACGAATCTCTCGACAGCCTGGACAAATATAGATACATCGTGAAATTCCTCGCGGATTCATACGACACGACACGACACGACACGAAACGGCACGGTACGCCTTTTTCCTCCTGGTGCTTCGCCCTCTGTGTACACGGGCAAATTTCGAATATTTGCGAACGCCGGAGAGAGGAACGTCCAAACAACTTCCGTCGAGCTGTCGCTGTGATCAAAGTGCTTCGTCTACAGCTCAAAGCTCAGAGCACGACGATTTTAAAGGGGAACTAGGGGAAACAAAAAGGACGAATATTATTGCCTGTTTCAAGCACGACGATTTCGTTGTCGAAAGATAGAGGGATGATGGAGAGAGTCTTGAAGTAACGACAGGGATAGTTGATCGAGCTCGCCCGTTGTTTCAAAGATTCGGACGCTAATTCGTCATCAATCAACCTCGGTACATCAGCCTGTCACCACCGACCTTCGTCAAACGTGTCCTCAAAGGGACACCGACGCTTTCCTTTCCTTCCTTCAACTCTCCCCGTAAATCGCAAAAGTTGGCAACTTTCGCCAAAAGTTTGCACTGTCTTTGGTCACTGCATTCTCTTCGGGTTTTCTACGCGTCACCCCGAGGACCGTCGTGTCGTTTCACTTAATAAAAAAAAAAAAAAAAAGGAAAACGAAGAGAAAAAGGAGAAAAAGGAAAAGGAAAACATAAGAGGAAGAAACGATCACGCCTGGCGCGAAAAGCCTCAATGCGTCGTTATTTATGGAGGTATTGTTACGTGCTCGATGGTAATGCGTCGTAAAAAAAAAAGAGAGGAAAAAAAGAAGAACGGATTCCGGGTGGAATGATGAGGAGTAAAGGAATGTTCAGGCGGAACGCCATTACCGGCGTATCGCTGAAAACAATTACTCGCAGCAATTTATGGGTCCGTTTAATAAAAAGCCTGGCAATTGTAAGCTGGCTAACGCAGTTACCACGCCGCGGAGGGTGAACGTGACCGCAACGGTGTTCCGTGTGAATTTATTAATGAAATTTCTTTTGGAAAAGTCGTCACCGATTCACCCTTTCCTCTCTGCTTAACTCGTTACACGTTTCGGAACGCCATGACTGGACTCCGAATGTTTATGCAAGTTTACGTAAAATTCTTTTCGTAACTCTTTCCAAGATGTTGGTAAGTATCACTTCACTTACGCGTAACGTATATTATGACCGATGGTTATTATGTTTTTATAATTACAGTGAGTTTCTATCAATGGGGTTAATTGTAAAATTGTAAAACTTACGAAAAATTGACCCTCTGTTGTTGGTGAGTATACTTGCCATTCGTTTATACTATAATTGATCTTTATTGTGTTTTTATAATTACGGTGAGATTATTTTCGTTAACCATGTAACTTAATCTAAGAAAGATTGGTAAGTACATTTATCACTCATCACACGTAATTTATATTATAACTAATTCTTGTTGTGTTTTTATAATTACAGTTTTTATCAATGGGGTTAATTGTAAAATTTAAACTACGAAAAATTGATCCTCTGTTGTTGATAGTATACTTACCATTCGTTTATATTATAATCGATCTTTATTGTGTTTTTATAATTACGGTGAGATTATTTTCGTTAACCATGTAACTTAATCTAAGAAAGATTGGTAAGTACA